TGCCACCACACTGGGCTAATTTTTTTATTTTTAGTAGAGACGAGGTTTCGCCATGTGGTTAGGCTGCTCTCGAACTCCTGACCTCGTGATTTGCCTGCCTCAGTCTCCCAAAATGCTGAGATTACAGGCGTGAGCCACCGCGCCCACCCTGATTTTTATATATCTTTCATAACCTTTCTATCTCTTTCTCTCTCTTTCTCTGTTTCTTTGTGTGTCTGTGTCTGATAATAAAATACATTAAATTTTATATTATAACGTGTTTTATAAGGTCAGTAGATTTGTTTATGATTTTAATGGCTGCATAGTGTTCTATCATGTGGATATATTCTAAATGTAATAATTCCTCAATGATGTATTTAGTTTGCTTCTAATTTGCTGCCTTAGTTTATCACAAACACTGTGAATATTCTTGTGTATATTTTGTTGTACAGTTCTTATTAGTACATTATGATTTTTCACCAGTATATACTTACTTTTTGAGAATTTAGCTTTTTGATTCACATGAAAGGATTACTTTTATCGTTAACAGTTTTATTATGTTTGTGAGGCCTAGGCAGGAGGATTGCTTGAGACCAGGAACTCAAGATCACCCTAGGCAGCATAGCGGGAGTCCGTCTCTACAAAAATAAAAAAGAAGAAATAAAGTAGCCATGCATGGTGGTGTGCCCCTGTAGTCCCGGTAACTCAGGAGGCTAAGATCGTCTGAGCCTGGGAATTTGAGACTGCAGTGAGTTACGACCACACCACTACACTCCAGCCTGGATGACAGAGCAAGATCTTGTCAGAAAAAAAAAAAAAAAAGATTAAATATATACAAAATAAGAGAATATTATGACAGACTTCTACTTACCTATCTCTAGGCTTCTTTATAAAATGTTCATTTAATCTGATCTCTACAAGAAATTCTGTATCTTTAAACAATATGTACCTTCTCTTTAGACAGAGCATTTACCCCCTTGCTATGCTTGCTTAGCACCTACCAAGTACTGGGTCCTGTGTCAGTTGTTTTGTTTTTTCTTTGTTTGTTTGTTTATTTGTTGAGATAGAGTCATGCTCTGTTGGTCAGGCTGGAGTTCAGTGGCATGATCTCAGCTCCCTGCAACCTCTGCCTCAGGGTTCAAGCGATTTTCCGGCCTCAGCCTCCCGAGTAGCTGGGATTACAGACATGCATCACCACACCCGGCTAATTTTTTTTTGTATTTTGATAGAGATGGGGTTTCACCATGTTGGTCAGGCTGGTCTCAAACTCCTGACCTCAAATGATCCACCCGCCTCGGCCTCCCAAAGTGCTGGGATTGCAGGTGTGAGCCCCCGTGCCCGGCCCTATGCCAGCCTTTTTAACAGCATCATTTCTCCTTTATTACTCATAACTATTTTAAGGGCTATTTTTATTTACAGACAAAGTGAGACTTGGATGAATTAAGAAAGACGGAGTTAATCAGGTGGTTGAATCTGAGTTCCAACTAGGGTGACAACTCTTCCCGGATTGCCTGTCACTGTCCTGGTTTTCGCACTGAAAGTCCTGTGTCCTAAAAATCCTCTCATCCTCAGCAACAAAGGACAGTTGCCCACTCAAAGCCATGCGACATTCTAGGGTATCCTATTTCTAAATGGTTGGAATCTAGAAGACGGAGAAAGAATTTCTCATTCCTGAAGGAGCATTGATTATGCTTGGTTGTAGTGTTTATGTTCACATCATGTGGAATATTTTATTTTTCAGGCCTCTTCATGTGCTTGTGTGCAACGCAGCAGCTTTTGCTTTACCCTGGAGTCTCACCAAAGACGGCCTGGAGACCACCTTTCAAGTGAATCATCTGGGGCACTTCTACCTTGTCCAACTCCTCCAGGATGTTTTGTGCCGCTCAGCTCCTGCCCGTGTCATTGTGGTCTCCTCAGAGTCCCATCGGTGGGTTTGAATTGCATATTTGTTCACTTACCCCCTTTCTCATACCAGCTAATATTCCCCCAAGGCTCTCATTCTGAAAATAATTTTCATTAGTCCTACTTGAGACATGTGGGTGGACTCAACTTGGCTTACTTAATTTTTCCAGGTCTTTTTTGTGTGTCTGTGTGATTGTAGGGGACTGTTGAGAAGGACTGTCTAGAGCAACGAAGATTGTTTTTATGACTGTACTTCAAGCTCCTCATTGATTTTGCTTAGAGATGGAATAATAATTGATGAAATCTGAATGGCGTGACCTTTATTGATTTGTAATTCAACAACTTCAACATCTTACCGAGAAGAATGTGCAGTTATTCTAGCAGGAGAAACAATACAATTAAAGCCTGCGAGATGAAATCCAATTGTTTTATAATGAGAAATTAGGGAATTCGATGCAGACATTAGCTGTGTAATTGTGGAAAGGGAAGTACTGTAGTTAGAGCATATTAGAAATCTGGCCATGCCTCTTTTGGTTAAAATTTCAATTAAAACATCAGATGGCACTTTTTTCCTATTGCCATTAGGAGAATATTCAGTTGACTGAAAAAGACATTTGAAAATTTCATCGTATTTTCAGCATATTTGTTTCTAGAGTTGGATAAACAACTATTTGTCTAGAGAGAAATATTCCGAAAGGACAAAGGCCTTGCTGGATGAGGCTGGATTTAATATGTGTTAGGGAGAGCTCTCTTTCACGTTTGCTTGGTGTGTGTTTTGGGGGGGAGTTTACACTCTTAGCAGAGTAGCTAGAAAAAGAAATAATGTGAAAGGGGCCCATTTTTTTCTTCCTTCTTCTCCGTCTTAAGTCCTGAAATGTTTTAGTGACCCAGAATGAAGCTTATTTTTTTAATCATACTTCCATAAAATGTAACCCCTGGGACTTGGAAGAGAGAGACCAGCCAAGGGTTAGCTTGAAACCTTTATCACTCCCAAACACAGGGGCTTACGGTATAAGTGACACACTGCAGATAGATTTACTTTTGCCACTTTAAATTTATGATGGCTGAAATGAAAGGAAAATGCCAGTAATAATCCTCCCCCGTGTTAAAAGACATGAAACAGCCAGTAATTAGGTGGTAACAAAATCTGGACAGCCTTATCTTTGCAAATCACACCAGGTTTGTGAAAGAAAGTGGAGTGGCCCTGTTAAGGGGCGAGGGAGGCTACTGTGGGGGCAGGCAGCAGAGAGAGCTCCAGAAATAAATCTGCCAGCCCCAGTCATCCACCAGATGTGGAGGGCACCACGGGATATGTTTAAATGAGCTGGTATTTAATGGGAGATTATGTTGAATTGTCAGCTGCTCACTCTCCTTTGTAAATCTGTATCTCAAGTGGTATTTTGTGTGACGTCTTTGTTCTCTCCTTAACTACAGTGTAATTCATGCGTACTTTGGAGATCCGAATCTTAGCTTCATTTAAAAGATTAATTTGAAAGGAAGGGACTTGGACTCTTGAATTAGACCTATCTTAGTTTGTAGGGAGGCCTTCCTGAAATGTGTTGTCGTGTTCACTCCTGTCTGATGGCTGGCACTAGTTTTCTGCTTTCCAATTATTCTTTGCACATTGTTGTTATTACTATTATTTTTTGAGAGAGAGTCTCGCTCTGTTGCCAGGCTGGAGTGCAGTGGCGCGATCCCAGCTCACTGCAACCTCTGACTCCCAGGTTTAAGCGATTCTTCTGCCTCAGCCTTCTGAGTAGCTGGGACTGCAGGCATCCACCACCATGCCCAGCTAATTTTTGTATTTTTAGTAGAGACAGGGTTTCACCATGTTGGCCAGGATGGTCTCGATCTCTTGACCTTGTGATTCGCCCACCTTGGCTTCCCAAAGCTCTGTGATTATCAGGCATGAGCCACCGCGCCCGGCTTCTTTGCATATTATTTAAAGGTGTTTTAACAAAATGGCAATTTCCCCAGGCTGGCTTGTGTATTACCTTCGC